CCCCCCCCCAACCATCAACTTATGAGATGCATAAGGTATGCTGAGATGCAGTGACTCACTAAGCAGTGTTTCTTAACCTTGTCAGCTTGAAGATGTGTGGACTTCAGCTCCCAGAATTCCCCAGCCAGTATGCTGACTGGAGAATTCTGGGAGTTGAAGTCCACATGTCCTAAAGTTGCCAAGTTTGAAAAACACTTGAAAGGCACCATCTTGAGCTCTTTGGAGGAAAGGCAGAATATAAATTATAATGAGTAAAGAAATAAATAACAGCAATTATGAATACTGTACTTTGAAATACAGAATACTTTGAAAAACAAACTCAGAAGTTCTGCAGATCCCAGAAAGTCCTGGAGCATCCCAGATCATACTTACACAAACATTTGGTGATAGTTTCTTATGAGCTGCTTTCAACTGACCTCAGGGCTAAAAATCTTAAGGAATTACGCCCACCTTGTGAGTCATTTTTAGGGGGACCCCTCTTGGGCCTCCAAGTATTATCTTGACTCTCCTAATTGTGTCAGCTTTGGTTTCGGTGAGAATAAAATAATGACTGTGTATATGCACGTTGTAAGTGGGTGGGGGAAGGAATTGTTGATCATAGGCATTCCTTTTTATTCTTGACCCAGAACTAGGGCAAACCCATTTTGGCAAAATTAAAGGTAGCTTTTCTCTTTGCCTGTTCTGTTTTACATAATAACTGACAATCCAAGGAACTGAGTCATAAAATATGACTTGCGGGTGGGTTGCCATGCTGCAAGACGGAATGTTACCCCAAGAAACCTGCTGACAAGCTTAGGTAATCAGCTTTATAAGATCTGTCATTACGCATTTACAGCAACTTTGGTTCGCTCTTATTCCTTGATTGGTGGAAAGCAGCATTTTTTACACTAGAGATTAGGTTGCTGCTAAAAGTGCAGGGTTAGAAAGAAATCCTAGCTCTTGTCCAGCACACATGAGTAAGCATATTGTTTTTTTCCTAGCCTGTAAGTAAGAGCTAGGAAATGCTCATCTATTGAATGACTATATATCAGGTTAACAGCACAGGAATAGTTTTCTTTAAAAGGCAATAACTTATCCATAGGATGCAGCTTGGGCCTTAAAATAAAGACAGGAGAGCTCAAAATCTTTTGTGAATTTAGGATGATGCAGATTGTATTTCAGCTACCAGTTGTGAAGGAGGTTTGCTCTGGGAAGAGGAATATTTGCAACAATTACATCATTGGAGAGCATCTAGTCCAGTGTTTCTCAGTCTCAGCAACTTTAAGATGTGTGGACTCCAACTGCATGGCTGGCTGGGGAATTCTGGGAGTTGAAATCTTAAAGTTGCTGAGATTGAGAAACACTGATCTAGTCTGATGACCTCTTCATGCAGGAAACGTGCAGTTATAGCCCCCTGATGCTAAATACTTCCAGCAAAGAAGGGCACGTCAGCCTGTTCCTATTTGACTATTAATAAATATTAGACAATTTAAGATGTTATAACCTGTTTTCCTAATTACAGTTCTCATATACTCTACTTTGAATATTTGGCCATTATTTGAATTACCATTTAAGTGACATGAATTTAGATGGTGGCAGCCAGTTTTGTTCTCCAGAATTATTGTATGAGCTCCTCCGTGGGTATCTGCAGGAGCTTGCTGGCTTTGTGCTTCTGCCCCTGGTTGTTCCCTCCTGAGCTCTTCAATCTCTTTCAATCTCTTTCAATCTCTCTCTCTCTCTCTCTCTCTCTCTCTCTCTCTCTCTCTCTCTCTCTCTCTCTCTCTCTCTCTC